TCTGGGCGACAGAGTGAGACTCCAACTCAAAAATAAATAAATAAATAAATAAATAAAGTAATTTGAAGCTGCTACTTTTTTTCAAAGTACAATACAAGAAGCCCCTCAGCCGGGTGCCATGGCTTACACCTGTAATCCTAGTATTTTGGGAGGCGGACATAAGAGGATTGCCTGAGTTCAGGGATTCGAGACCAGCCTGGGCAACATGGCAAGACCTCGTCTCTACAATAAATTAAAAAATTAGGTGGGTGTGTTGGTGCACGCCTGTGGTTTCAGCTACTTGGAAAGCTGAGGCCGAAGGATGACCTGAGCCCAGCAGGTAGAGGCTGTAGTGGTTGTGAGCGTGCCACTGCACGCTGGGCAACACAGTGAGACTCCGACTCAAAAATAAAATAAAATAAACAACCTCCTCAAGTCACGACTTTCACTCTCCAAATATACACCATGACATTTTGATTAAAAAAAGAACAAGGCCCAGCGTGGTGAGGGTATCTGTAGTTCTAGCTACTCAGGAGGCTGAGACAGGAGGATTAGTTGAACCCAGGTGTTCGAGACCAGCTCAAGCAACATAGTGAGACCTCATCTCTCCAAAAATAAAAATATTTGCCAGCATAGTGGTATGTGCCTGTAGTCCCAGCTATTTGGAAGGCTGAGGCAGGAGGGTTGCTGGAGCCCAGGAGTTTGAGACTGCAGTGAGCTATGATCACATCACTGCACTCCTGGGTGCCAAAGCAAGACGCTGTCTCTAAAATATATATATATATATAAATACATAAACAAACAGTTAAGTACATAAGCAAATAAATAAATTAAACAATGGTGCAAATAAGTGTCTGCCATTTAAATACTGTGCATTTTGGCTTACCCATTCTTTTCCTGAAGACTTAGCTCTTCATGGGACCCTATGTGTGCTTTTGCTGGGTGCCTTGGGGGCTGCAAGTATAGATTTAGAGGTTACAAACACATTTTGGCAAGGAGGCAAATTTGCGAATACAGAATCCATGAATGATGAGGACTGTCTCTATTTTATAACTCAATGAGGAAAGTTGGGTTTTGTTATCTGACTAATAAAAGTTTTTTTTTTAACTTTTGTTTATAGAATTTTCTGATGCTGATGCCAAGTGTTCCTGTTGGCTCTACTATGCCGGAGAGCTTCACAAGATTCTGGGCAGCAGGTGTGAAGATTTTATCCATTCCTGTTCCCACTCATCACCCTGGCTGGCCTGAGGAGGCGAATCAGGAGCTACCTTCAAGGCCGTGGAAGTTGAGTCATTTCAATCTTTTGCTGATCAGGTAGTCTCCATCTTTTCCCCTCAAATAACTTACATATCACTTGAACTGAGATAATATGGTGTTGCTTATTGGCAAATAAAGCTTTCTGACTTTCTTTTAATGGTTTAAGAAGATGTAATACAATCCCTAAAATAATTGTATATATATGTCTGTCATGAGCCTCAGGTATTGTTTAAATCTTTTTTTTTTTCCTGATTTAAAAAAAAATTTTAGCATTTTGAGAGGCAGAGGTGAGAGGATTGCCTGAACCCACGGGTTCAAGGCCAGCCTGGGGAACATGGCGAGACCTAGTCTCTATAATAAATTTAAAAATTAGCTGGGTGTGGTGGCGCACACCTGTAGTTCCAGCTGCTTGGAAGGCTGACGCGGAAGGATCCCTAAGCCCAGCAGGTCGAGGCTGCAGTGGCCATGAGTGTGCCACTGCACTCCAGCCTGGAGTATTTTTGAATCAGAGTGTTTTTGAATCAGAGACCCTGATTCAAAAATACAATAAAATGGAAGGCTAAGGCGGAAGGATCGCCGGAGCCCAGCAGGCGACGCTGTGGTGGCCGGGAGCGGCCACCGCACTCCAGTCTGAGCGACAGAGTGAGACTTCAACTCAAAAACAAAAACAAAAACAAAAATACAATAAAATAAATAGAAAAAGAGTTTATTAATGTGTCGTAGTTAAGATTTCTTTAAAAATTTTTTTTATTGTTTTATTTTATTTTGAAGATGTATTTTAAGCTGGGCTCGGTGGCTCAGCCTGTAATCCCGTGCCTTTGGGAGACTGAGGTGAATCGATTGCCTGGGCCCATGGGTTCGAGACCCGCCTGGGCAGGCGAGACCTCATCTCTACAATAAATCAAAAAAATTAGCCGGGCATGGTAGCACACGCCTGTAGTTCCAGCTCCTTGGAAGGCTGAGGCGGAAGGATCACCGGAGCCCAGCAGGTCGAGGCTGTGGTGGCCGGGAGCGGCCACTGCACTCCAGTCTGGGTGACAGAGTGAGACTCCAACTCAAAAAAAAAAAAAAAAGATGCATTTTAAAGAGGTGGGGTACATGTCAGGATTAGGTACATAAGTGGTCTATGTGCAGGTGAAGTTCAGGCCTTCCACTGGTTCTCACTTTCCTTGGTTTAGGATCCGGTACCTTAGTGAGGTTACATACCCCCTCCCTTCCTCCCTTGGCATGTCCCATTGCTGCTGTTCCCTCTCTTGCAGTATTGTGATAAATGTTCAGGACCCACTTATGAGTGGGAACATGTGGTTCTCAGCTCCTTGTTTCTATGATAGATCACTGAGTATGATGGGCTCCAAATCCATCCAAGTTGATGCAAAGTCCATAATTTTTTCTTCTTTATGGCTGCACGATACTCCATCATGTATATGTACCACATTTTCTTCATCCAGCCCACTTTCAAGGGGCAGCGGAGTTGGTTCCATGTTTTTGCTGTTGTGAATAGTGTGGCAATAAACATGCATGTGCCGGTGTCTTTTTGGTAGAATGATTTGAGTTTCTCTGGGTATATTTCCAGGAGGGGGATTGCTGGGTTGTATAAAAGGTCAATTTCTAGTTCTTTTTAAAATCATCACACTGTTTTCCATAGAGATTGAACTAGTTTGCATCCCACCAAAAGTGTAGAAGCGTCCCTTTTTCTCTGCACCCGCACCAGCTTCTGGTTTTTTTTTTTTTTTTTTTTTTTGAGTTGGAGTCTTATTCTGTCAGCCAGGATGGAGTGTAGTGGCATGCTCATGGCCACCCCAGCGTCGACCTGCTGGGCTCAGATGATCCTTCCGCCTCAGCCTTCCAAGTAACCAGAACTATAGGCGTCCACTACCATGCCCAGCAAATTTTTTTTTATTTATTGTAGAGACAAGATCTTGCCAAGTTGCCCAGGCCGGTCTCAAACCCGTGGACTCAGGCAATCCTCTCACCTCGGCCTCCCAAAGTGTTGGGATTACAGGATTGAGCCACTGCACCCTGCCGTTTTTTGATTTATTGATGGCCAGTCTTGAGATAAGTTTTTTTTTAGTTGGAATTTCACTCCATTGCCCAGGCTGGAGTGCAGAGGCACGCTCACAGCCACCGCAGTGCCAACCTGCTGGGCTTAGGCGAACCTTCCACCTCAGCCTTCCAAGTAGCTGGAACTACAGGCACAGGCTACCACGCCCAACTAATGAGAAAATGAGAAGTTTTTTTTGTATTTTGTTTTTTAATCAGAGTCTCACTCTGTCACTCAGGCTGGAGTGCAATGGCATGTTCACAACCACTGCGAGAAAAGTTTTAAGAAAATAGTGTAGGGTCTCAACATCAGAAAATTTGCTGTCCAACATGTTTTCAGGAATAGACTTGATGGCTACAAGCACTGTTCTGAAATCTCTCTCTTTCTCACTCTCTCTGCGTAATGGAAAATATGTCTCTATTCACTTCAGAAACATTTATTGAGTGTCTCCTGCATGTCAAGACATTTCCCTATGAAAACTGACAATTCCCAGAAATCAGAAACAGGCTCTTGGGTGTAACTCTTCTACAGAGTGCAAAACTTCTTCTCGTCAGGTGTAGTGGCTCACGCCTGAATCCCAGCACTTTGGGAGGCAGAAGTGAGAGGATTGTCTGAGTCAAGTTGTTTGAGACCAGCCTGGGCAAGTTGACAAGACCTAGTCTCTACAATAAATCAAAAAATTAACCAGGTGTGGTGGTATGCACCTGTGGTCCCAGCTACTTGGGAGGCTGAAGTGGAAGGATCACCTGAACCCAGCAGGTCGAGACTGCAGTGACTGTGAGCATGCCACTGAACTCCAACTTGGGCAACAGAGTGAAACTCTGACTCAAAAAACAGCTCTTTCTTCAGCCGACCGCCGCCATCATGGATCGCATGCACGCTCCCGGGAAGGGCCTGTCCCAATCGGCGCTACCCTACCGCCGCAGCGTCCCCACTTGGCTGAAGTTGACGTCTGACAACGTGAAGGAGCAGATTTACAAACTGGCCAAGAAGGGCCTGACTCCCTCACAGATCGGTGTGATCCTGAGGGACTCCCATGGTGTGGCACAAGTACGCTTTGTGACAGGCAATAAAATCTTGAGAATCCTTAAGTCGAAAGGGCTTGCTCCTGATCTTCCTGAGGATCTCTACCATTTAATTAAGAAAGCAGTTGCTGTCCGAAAGCACCTCGAGAGGAACAGAAAGGTCAGAGAGTGCATGTAACCTGGTACAAGATAGGACTGCCTATACTCACTTGTTTTAATAAAATATAATGTATTTGAAAAAAAAACCAAAAACTTCCTCTGTCAGGGTTCGAGGTAGTGAGCTGAGGGGTGCCGTAGGAAGCCATATTTTGGAGAGAGTCATTGCATAGTAGTTGTTCCTCAAGTATATTAACATCTGCAGCAGATTTTACAGATCATTATTAGAAAGTTCTATTTTATTTTACTTGGGTCTCACTCTGTCACGTAGGCTAGAGTACAGTGGCACGCTCACAGCCACTGCAGCCTCAACCTGTTGGGCTCAGGAGATCCTTCCTCCTCAACCTTCCACGTAGCTGGAACTACAGGTATGCATCACCATGTCTGGCTTATTTTTTGATTTATTGTCAGGACGAAGTCTCACCAAGTTGCCCAAGTTAGTCTCAAACCCCTGGGCTCAAGCAATCCTCTTGCCTCCACCTCCCGAAGTGCTGGGATTACAGGCGTGAGCCACCATGTCGGGCAACTACACTTATTTCTTCCTGAATCAAATTATTTCCAGCTGTGTCCGTGATGCCACCAGCAGGGGCTGACTCCCCCATGAGCGTGCGTGCCTTAGCCTTCCCTTCTGGTGGGGAGACAGACAATAACAAGCATACCTGAGCATGGCAGGAAGCAGAGCCAGGCAGGTGAGGGAGGATGGTGGTGACAGGCCGGGAGAGTTGAAGGCAACAAGGACCAGTGTCATCACGTGGCGTAGCCTTGTCTCCACTGACCACCAACCCTGCTGCTTCTCAGGGCGAGGCCCCCTCTGTGCCTCTGTGTTTGAATTCTGACCAATGGAGATACTGACGGTCCCCACCCCTGCCACAGCTACCCTGAAGAGAAATGAAATGAATCAGAGACCCCCGAGTGGTGGCTGTCATGATCCTGAGGATACTGGCTGGCAGGGCACTTTGTGTGCCCAGGACGTCTCCCTCAGATTCTGATGTTGTTCCCTGGACTGAGGAGGAGGCCATCTCACCTCTGTACACAATGCCCCACATAATCATAATAATAAAACAATAGTCCGGGCTCGGTGGCTCAGCCTGTAATCCCAGCACTTTGGGAGGCCAACGCGAGTGAATTGCCTGAGCCTGAGGGTTCGAGACCAACCTGGGCAACTTGGTGAGACCTTGTCTCTACAATAAATTTTTTAAAAAAAATTAGCCGGATGTGGTAGAATTCGCCTGTAGTTCCGGCTACTTGGAAGGCTGAGGCGGAAGGATCACCAGTACCCAGCATGTTGATGCTGGGGTGACTGTGAGCATGCCACTGCACTCCAGCCTGGGCGATGGAGTTGAGATTCCAATTTAAGAAATAATAATAATAATAATAATTTTTTAGATATTGACCAGGTGTAGTTGCTCACTCCCATAATCTCAGCACTTTAGGAGGCTGAGGCAAGTGGATTGCCTGAGCCCGCGGGTTCCAGACCAGCCTGGGCAACTTGGCAAGGCCTTGTCTCTACAATAAATGAAAACATTAGCTGGCGTGGTGGTGCATGTGTGTAGTTCAGCTACTTGGAAGATTGAGGCTGGAGGATCGCCTGAGCCCAGCAGGTCGAGTCTACGGTATCCGTGAGCCTGCCACTGCACTGCAGCCTGGGCAACAGAGTGAGATTCTGACTGAAAAAATAAAATAAAAATTTAGATATTCATTTAATTTCCATCTTTCCCACTTGACTGTCAGCTCCATGAGGGCAGACAGGGTTTCTGCCTCTTTCACTCTCTCTCCGGGTCTTACCATGTAACTGGGGTTCTAAGATAATGGGCGAATGAATGAATGAATCTAAGGAGATGTGAGTAAATGCTCCTGGTGTGGGGCAGGCGGGTGTGTGTTCACCTTCCAGACCCAGTGGGATCCTGCTCCCAGAGCAGGCCCAGGCAGGGCCTCCGTGGAGGACTTGGGGGGAGGCTGGTGTGTGCCCTTCTGTTCTCCATCTCAGTATCCCACCACCTGCCGCACCAACTGCATACAGAAGGAACTCCATAAATGTGCATTGAACGGGTGAATGAGTGAGTTTGCAGTCTACCCTGGATTCTCAGAGAATCCTCTACACTCTACTGTTTCTCAGGGAATTCCACCTGGTCCTGCCTGGTCCTCGGAGGGCTGGAGTAGGGCTATCCCACATCTGAGGTGTAGACGTCTGGGGTGTAGATGCTCGTCTTGTCTTTTTTCTTTTTTTTTTTTTGAGTTGGAGTCTCACTCTGTTGCC